TGCCCACGCTCCCCTTTGGACAAGCTGCTGAGGGTCTGCAAAGCTCGAGGCCACAGCACAGCGCACACAGCCCACCCGGCAGAGGGGATACTCAAAGGGTTAATTCCATTTTTACTGTGCCTGTGAGACTTTCAGCACTGGAGTAAGGCCTGCCAAAGGTGCTTTCAGCAAGGAGAGTTGGGTGGTAAGAAGAAGATGTGTGGGCCAGGCATGCAGTGACAGACAAAGAAGATGGGGTGGGATTTATGGGGTTAACCGTTCTGTGCGTGGAGAGACTGCACCTGAGTGACCCCCTTGCAGAACCTCCTGCAGGCACCTTCAGGCCTGAAGGAAATTATTGCCTCTTTAACACAGCTTTAGTGCTGGAGAGGTTAATTCCCACATTTCAGGCATTTGGTACCAGCTGGAGCAGGCCAGGGACACTGGTTCCAGCTTTGCATCAGAACTTAGCTGGGACCCCCTCACTCTCAGAGGTCCAAACCTTCTCACAAAAAAAGGGTCCTATTCAAACATCTGCTCTAGCTCTGAAGGAAAATGAAAACCCTCTCCTAAAACACAGACTGCTGTCTGGCAGGAACTGCCCTCGAGTTTCAGAAAGCACTTGGTTCTTGGGCTATGTCACTCAGAAAAGAACACCAATTAGTAACCAATTACTGACAGTATTAAACTGAAAAAGTCAAACAAAACTGCGGCCTAAATGTTAGAGACACTGTAAAGCAGCATTTTTGCTTCCTGCTGCTTTGAGATCTTAGTTTTACATTATTGGCAACCTGAAGTGTTCCAAGATCTTGAGCTGGGCTCTCCAAAAAAAATTTTGACTAAAAATCAGAACAGATTAGAAAACAGCATTTGGCCTCTGTTTTGTTTGCCTTCTAATTTTGGAACTTGTAGTGCTCATGGTTTCAGATTTTGCCTGGAAATATGAGAGTTGGAAGTTTACATTTGGGAGAAATGAAAGCTGGCATTTTTGTCATCACATGACTCCAAGAGCTGGGGCTTGAGGGAAAAACATAAAACATTGTCAGGTTTTCTACAAAATTGTGAGATTAGCAGCATCAGTTTTATCACAATTTAGGCTGCAAGGTTGACCTATTTTATCAACAGTGCCCTACTGAATATGAATTGCTTTATGAATTTTAACAACCATATTTCATTTTAAATACAGTTCAATTAAAGTGACATCCGTCACCGAGCTTCAAAGCAAACCCTTCCATCACATCCTGGGCCAGACTTTGTCTCTGAACTGCACGACCCCTGCCAAGGCTGTGTCTCAGAGGCACCCTTTGAAGAGGGCACCTCTGGGGTGAGCTCAGCTCAGCACCACGAGCACCTCCCAGGCTTCTGCCACTCTGCCCAGCTGGCAGGAGAGCTCAGAGCCCAGAGTGCCCCAGGCTCCAGAGCAAGGGCACCAGGGAGCAGACTGTGGCCCCACAAAAGATCAGTGGGTGACCAGGAGAGCTCCCTTGAGGCCCTGGATGACCTGAACCCAAGAACCTGCTGAGCTGAACTAGGTGCCAGCCTGTTGTTTTGATTTTTTTTAAGATTTTCTAAACCTTCTGATGTTTATATTCTTGTAACAAACTTTTTCACGCACTTTTTGTAAACAACTTACTGTTTTGTATTCCTTTATGGAAGAGAAGAAATTTGATGGACTGTTGGTTTGTCCAGTGCCACTGGAGAGGTGGCACTTTCACCCTCCAATCCACTGTCACCTTTAGAAATCTCTAAGTGTTGGAGTCAGAAAATAAACTCCTCCTTTTTGCCTTGAAAACAGCAGCGTGTTCATGTTGTGTTGTTTTGTATCCTACAGTAACACCAGCCTGCTCTACAGCTGCAGGTAAAATACAACCTGAAACCTTTGGGGAGCTGGTGCACAAGAGCTGTCAGAACACACGTTCCAGCTCCATTTAACAGCAGCACTAGGGGTGCAGGGGGGAAGAGCCCCAACACTGAGCAGGCAGAAACCTTACAGGGAAAACCTTACCCACACAAAGATTAGGCAGAGGAGAAAGCAGGGTGCATGGGGGGATGCACCCCAAAGTGGCAGGAAAACAAATGGGGAAGGGCTAATTAATTATTCAGAGGAACTCAAACCTCTTCACAAATTAGGTCTAGAACATCCTGAAAAGTAGAAAAAAATTATAAACATTCTCCAAAACACAAAATCCCATCTAGATGCCATTTTTAGCATTTTGAGGTCATACAGATTCTCAAATTGAATCTAATCTGCAACTTTCCTGCAGTTTACTTAACTCTCTACACAAACTCCTTGTTTTCCGTTTTAGTGACACCGCCTTCCAATTAATTCAGCAGAGATGGGCTTGGAAAAGACGTGTCAGTTACAGACTCACATGCCAGGCACGTTTTTCTAAGCTCAAGGAACTAAGGCATCTTTCTCCAGCATCCCAGAAGTGCTAGTCTAATTGAGCTGCAGTTGCACTGAGCATCTGCAGTCCTCTGAGGAGGAGAGGGACTCACAGTCCCTCCCTGGTTATGGACTGCGTATCAGTGATTGTGTGATGGGCTAAGGAGAAAGGGAACTGTTTCCAAGTTAGCACACTGAGAGAAAGGACTCATAAATCATGGGGTCAGCCAGGTTATGCTTTTTTCTAACCTTAGGGTATTATGCTTTCAATACAATATTTCAATGGCTTTTTTCTGTGTAATAATTTATATGGAATTATGGCAACTCTTACAAGCTTAGAAAAAAATTGGCTCGAGTAAAACGATTCCTTTGTCATAAATAAGTTGAGTTCATAGCTACAGCACAATCATTCAACTGCACCTAAGTCAAACAGTTATCCACTCTTTGTAGGAATATTTCCCTGTCAATAAATCTAATGCTTTTTCAAAACTTCAGGCCAGTGTGACAGAAGCCTGTTAGATTAATTAGGGCAAGGTCAGAAAAGCTGAACTCACAGCTACATTCTTGTCACACTTTTCTTCCACCTACCATCCCATACGCTGTAAACTCACTGACCATTTTAAACATGGCCATGTTAGGGGGGCTTCATTGCCTTAATTAACATACAAAGGATGATTTCTTTAAGAATTGTTTCTTCTCTGACAGTCACTAACTGATGAGAAATGTTCTGCTTTGAGTTCACTGTCAATATGGGGTTTTTTTTTTAATTTTTACATGTTTTTCCCATCAGAGTTATGGGCTTCAGCCAGGGCTCATGAGACTTCAGGATCATACAGGCATGGAACTGCCCAGACTGCCTGTGCAGCATCACCCAAGTTTCACCACAAACAGATCAGCTCTGTGGGACTGAGAGAACAGCGCTGTCTCTCTGCCTGCTCCATTCCTGACCTTTCCTGCCTGACCATCCAAAAGGAGGGTGTCACAAATCTGATGGGGTCTGTGTGAAGTGGACCCTGGAGGTGAAATTCTGACCTCAGCAGGGTCAATATTTCATCTGCAATCCCTTGAGACAGACCCTCAAATCATTTCTGAGGATTGCAGCTTCTATCAGATGGTACTTGGCTGACTTTCATTTACTACTGACTCAGGTCAAACTTGGACCAGGGATCAAGAGATGAAAGGCTCTATATCTCATTATCAATAACCAGGGTTTTCTTCACTACCCTAAAAACAACATACTTCATTCTTATCTACAAGGCGTTAAAACTTAAAAGGGTTGGGGTCAAATTACGTTACTTCAATTTATTTTTATTCACTGCTTATAAAACAACTTCCTCTCTTGCTGCCATAGCTGAATGCTAAAAATACAAATATTTTCCTTGCTATTGTACAGGTTTTGCTATTGTTTTTCTTTTAAAGTCTTATTAAAAATGCAGCAATAAAGAAAAATCCCTCCCACACACCAATTAGGAAGCAGAAAAGATTACAGAGGTCGAGGCCAAATCAAGCCTTACCAATCTCAAAATTATTTTCAGCAAAGCACATCCATCTTTTATAGAAGTTGCCCTAAAACAGAGGGATGGACCTTCCCAGGAGATTTTCATAAATGCTCAAGCCCAGATACAGACAGAATGTCCTCTGGAATGACAGAGCCAAGTTTTCTTCCAGCATGAAGCCACACAGCTCCTCTGATCTGGCTGGAATTAGGTTTTCTTAAATGGCTTACAATTGTGATTGATAACTTTAGGCAACTCCCTCCGAAATGCTGATGAAAAGCTTTGGAAGGAGAATCCTGCTGCTACTGAACAAACAGAACACAGTCTACAGCAATTCGCAATGCTCTGTACAAAGCTGCATGATTACACAGCCAGAGATTCCACCCTGGTCCCAGGCATCTGTAAGAAGTCAAACCTCTCCTTTGTTATTCCATGGAAACCTTCACAGGCAAACTGATTTGCACTGTTCCCAAAACAGGGGCATGCACATGGAGGAAAAGTAATGAAATACACTCAATGGCATGGAAAGTAACTTCTGAGTACAGCATGGCAGAAAGAGGCTAAATAAAGTTTACTTGTTATCCTGGTTTAACAACATTTTCTACTCCCAGGAACAGACCTGCAGGTACCTGGAACTCACACAGCTGCTCTCCTGATCCAACCAACCTTTCAGCCAGCTTCTCACTCACACAATACTTCTCCACAAATTGAAATTTCCAGTCTCCCAACACCTCAGGCAGAGGGAAGAAGGTGCACCTGATTATCAATCACTGAAGAGAACTGCTTCAGCAAAGCCTCAAAACCAGAGCTGTAGGACATTGGTTCCAAACTAACTCCTTCTGGCAATGCTTTTGTCACTCCTGAGCAAAGAGGACTGGTCCTGCAAATGCCTGCTTGCATGACCAGCTCCTCTAACAGCCTCTTCCTGGCCCTACAAGAACCATGTTAATCACGTAAGGCCTTCCAGAAACTGACCTTTTTTTTGCTAAATGACAAGTAAAATCCTCCTGTGTTCCCATAAACAAGATGCCAGCCAACCGTAGAGATTCTTAAAGAAACTGTGGCACCAATGGCTGAGGGAAAGAGTGGGGAAGGGAAAGGAAGAATAACAGGGGCACGGGAGGAGATGCGTCTCTGACCTGGATCTGCTGCTGAAGAAGGTTAATTTTGTGCTGCTGCTGCAGAAGCTGCTGCTGCTGTCTTGCAATCTGTGAAGAAATCGCAAAGAAACATGAGATACATGAGAAACAAGAAAGAGTCCATCCCCAGGAAGCTCTGACCCTGCTTAGTTCTTTAAACCTCTTCTCTGAGCTAAGGAACCTCCGGGGGCAGGCAGCAGCCCAGAGATTGCTGCTGAAGCAAGGGGCACAGGAGTGTTCAGGAACAATTCATTGCTAATGCCAGTGAGAAAGAGAATCCTATGGAAAATGCTGTGCTGCACAGAAGACAAGGACCTATGCAAACATCTTACTGAAATGGCACTGCTGAAATTCCCCAGGAGTGAGAACAACACCAGTAGAGAAACCAAAAAACAGTGGAGGAAGGTAGAAAAGGCAAAAAAGCAGGATGGCCAGAAATACTCTTCTGTTTGACACCACCTGCTCAATTTTATTTTTTTTTTAATGGCCATCTGACACCATGGAGGAAGGTTCTTAGTGTACTTTTATAATGTAGAAACAGGCACAAAGAGATTGGCACTGAGCTTGGAAAAATCACTGGCTCTCCAACGTGTGTATCAGCTGCAAGGCACTGAGGGGGCAGGCCAGGCCACAAGGCTCAACATGAAACTGCTTTATGGAGGTGCATGGAGTCCTCCAAGCCTCCTCTCAAAGCCAAGGGCAGTTTTCCAGAAGGACTTCCACCCTCCCTCTCCCCCAAATAACTGCAAATTCTGCTGTAGACACATTTTACACCCCATGAAGGGAAAAGACAGACATTAGCAGAATGGAGTTATGAGTTCTAAAGGCTGGAGGGAGATGAACCATTCTTGAAATTAAAAAGCAAGTTTGAAAAACTTCCACTGAAGTTGTCACAAACGCTCTGCTCCCACGAACAGGCAGCAGTGCAGTACAAACATCAGAAAGAGCTCTGCTCCTCCCCTGTGTCATGTGTACACATCTCAGCTGGCAACTTAGACATACTTACTGGGGGAAATGTGATTTCTTCCCCTTAGGTAGCTTCTTTTCTTTCTACTGTTAGACTATTTGCGTAAGAAACACTCACTCATAGTTAGCTCCACATCTAACAGATGAAATGAGTGTTTTCTTTTTTGGAGCCTTTCTTTAAGAAAGAAAAATAATTTCTATCACTACATTAGTTTCAGAGTTTGGATATTTTCATTTCTGCATAATGCATAAGTATACAGAATTTCTTCAATTAAAAGAAATCCTAGTTATCCTAATTTCTTATTGCCTTTTTCTACTGTCTTCATTTTCTTTTTTGCCTTCAAATCCTCGTGACACTAGTGACTTTAGGAGGCAAGGTAAAGGGAATAGTTCATACAGGATGTCTCCTGGTGAAAGAATCTTGCCAGTTCCACCTTCACTCCTTCCTCTACTCTGCTGTTCTAACAGCAGGATACAAATTCCCCAGCTCAAGGGAAGTCACTTCTGTTCTCCCCGTGGGGGATTTCAAGCTGAGGCCAAAATACCTTTGTTTAAGATAAGGTTTTTAAATAATTAAAACCAGGGAAAACCAAGGCTTAAATGTCTGAAGGTAGCAGCACTGGCACAGAAATCTTAAGACTTGCTTAAGTACAGTACCAACACTGAATCTGACAACTATGACAGATTTCAAACAATTTTGTGAGTTTCATAAAACTCACAGAGCTGCAATTCTGTGATAAAATTTTAAACTAGATATCTAAATATTCTCTGCTCGTGTTCGATACAAAAGCAGACATTAATTTCTGTTGAAATCTGCCCAGTGAAATCTGTGAGAAAAGTTATGTTTTTGCCTAAAATGTTGTGTGTCCATGTGTGCTCGCTGGAAGTGATCACATGTGAAAACCATGTTTGCATTTCCAGTGAAGGGCATATTTGCAAGAACTGAAAATCAAGCCTCTCAAGTGTAGAAGAAAAAAAGCGACACTTGTTCACTGACTTTATATTAGTCTCTGCTTTTTTCCACAGTTGGCAAAACCCAACCTCTTCATTTCTCACATTACAGTCTAAGTGCTGCATTTTGTTCTTTTTATACCTGTTCAGTATTTCTGAACTGAAGCATTTTTGGGGGATTATTCAGGAGGGCTGGTGTCGCCCTGATTTTGTAAGACTTTGTTAAGCCTTCTGATGTTTGCATTCTTTCAACAAACTTTCTCACACACAGTTCTGTAAATAACCTATGTTTTGCATTCTTTCATGGAGGTGGAGAGAATTGATGGACCCTTGGTCTGTCCAGTGGCATTGGAGAGGTGGCACTGTCACCCTGCAATCCACTGTCACCTTTGGAAAACTATAAATGTTGGAGTCAGAAAATAAAGCTCTTTCACTTCCTTTTTGTTCCCCTCGAGAGCAGCAGTGTCTGTGTCATCATTTCGTGCCGTATCACAACAGGCTGGATTTGCCTGTTTATTTACAGAAAGCTCAAAAGCCCGTACAGTATGGAAGGATAACGCAGAACTTCAGAATATTCTGAGTTGCAAGGGGCTCACAGGGAGCATCAAGTCCAACTCTTGACTGAACGGCCCAGGCAGGGGCTGAACACACAGCACTGCTGGCAGCAGGCTCTGAACAGCTCCAAGATGGATATATTGCAAACTGAACCATTCTCCTGATACGTTTTGGTTCAAACTTTTCCACCCTGGAGAGCGAGCGGAAGAGATTTTGGGTGCGGAGCAACTTGAAAAAGCTGACCTGCTGGAAAGCCCTGGTAAGAAGGTGGCTGAAGCTGAAAGGCCCTGCAATAACCACTCACCTGCTCCTGCTGCTGCTTGGCCAGCTCCATTTGCTGGCGTTGTTTCTCGATCTGAGACGCAGCCAGCTTCTTCTGCTCGTCGTGAGCTGCCAGCAGCTGCTCCCTCAGACTGGTCAGCTGATTGATCATACCCATGAGCTGCCTCTCCTTCTCAGCCAGGCTTTCTGGAGTCCCTGGGCATCAGATGGTGGGGGAGAAAGAAAAAAAAAGGGAGGGGGGGGGGAAGAGAAGAGAGAACATTTAGAGCGGTCCAGCTCTTTATTTTGCAGCTTTACTGTAAGCAAAGTTTGAGGAGAAGCAGAGAGCAGCAGCATACTGCAATGTGCTGCACACAAAGACCTGCTCCTCTCATAGCGTGGAGGATAAATCTGTACACAGGCTTTGATCTGCTGCTCCCCTTCAATGGTTCTTTGCCCTTGCATCTGTTTTCTGCTGCCCTTCTGTCAGATTAATAGAGTGAAATAATGCTGCCTGTTTTGAGGAAGTTTCAAGTTTAAACACTGGGGAGCAAAAAATCAACCATTCCAGGTTTGTAAGGCAAGTACATTTATGGCAGAAACTTAGGGAAAAGATGCAGTTTCTGTAAGTGTCAAAGCATTGATGGAGCACAAGCATTAACATCCCTCTATAACCTGTTACATCATCTACATCCCTGATCAGGATTCAATTGTACAGTATTTAAATTGTCAATAACTCCTATTGCTGTAACTGCCACCAAGGTGCAATTTAAAAGGAAAAAATTATTTTATAAACATATCCAAAACGTGAGTTAAACACAACTCACCATCACTGTCATTTGTACTGTTGTTAGATGTTTTTTATAGTGCAGTTCAGCAGACACAGACAGAGGAACTCACTTCCTCACTTTCATAACCATGCTGAAGAAATTGTTTTTCTACCCAGAAGGACAGTGGTTATAACAGAAGGGAAGAAAAAATTCCAAGAAAAATAAAAAAAAGCAGCACTTTTAATATACGTAGATCATTTGACTGTGAATTTAAAAGACCTGAAAATATGTGTAGCAGTTAATCCACAGATATCCCCAATACCACCACACCCTCTCACATGAGTCAGAGCCTAGGAAAACCTTTCTAAAAAGCCTTTAGGAAAGGATTAAGGCTATCAGTGTCAATGCCTCCTCTGAAAATAGCCTGCTTTTGGGACTACCCTGCCATCCAAACCCCTTTCAAGCACAGGAACCATTCTTCTGCCAATGTCACCAGTGCTCTCCAAGTGAAAAAAAAAAAAAAAAAGGAAAAAAGAAAAAAAAATTGGCGACTACAGCAAGCATGTTCCTAGCCAACTATCAGTCAGACACGGAAAAGAGCTACTGGTAATAGCTCATTTAGCCTACCCCCCTGCCAGTGCAGGAATGCTCCCTGCAACACATTTAATACAGCTCTCTGGATTGGACTGAAATGTCTGTAACGGTGAATCATCTGCTCTTGCTTTGAAAGGCTGTACCACAGCCTTTGAGGTGGCACTGCGAGGGCTCTCTGCTTGATAGTTAGCTTAATTCACTTTTTTTTTGGTTACTTTTTCCTAATTTCAATGATGTGATCCCAAGCAACATCCCATTTGCGACATTAGCCAAGTCCAAGCACTTAAAAGGCATTTGTAGACAGCCATGTACAAGTGGAAAACCACACAGAATCACCAGAAAAAAAAAATATGACAGAAGAAATGTAACTGAATTGTTTTTCATTAGGGTTCTAGAAATTTCTGTGAAAATATTCTCACCACATACAAAGAACTACAGCAGAATATTCTCAGATAAAGCCTCCAGAAAAACTGTGGTACAAGCTGGAAACTTGAGAAACACACTGAAACAGAAAGCATAGGACTTTAAACCTGTTCTGCTAAAAGCTGTGAGAAAGAATGGAAGCCAGTGCTAAAACACGATCAGGGCTGAAGAAAACACTTCTAACTAGGATTTTTCCTTCCAACACTGGAGACAGAGAACTGCTACAAGTAATGCATTTGCCACCTGGCCATGGAATTAATCAGAAGCTTCTATTGCCACTCTTCCATCCTGTATTTGTTTTTCCCTGGGAAAAACAGGCCCAGTGTTTCCAAGTGGTGCAGAAGAATTGTTTCAGAAGGCAGCCCTTGCCTTGGCCTGTCCACGTGGGTTTGCCATAAAGCTCCTCTAATGGAGACTACCATGCACTGCCACTGCAACACCTGAAAACAAAATATTCTGTATTTATTTATTCAGCAGATATTCTATTCCTAACTTTTACTGAGGGGTGGATGCAAGCATGACAGAGAGGGGAAGAAGGTCCTACAGAAAGAAGGAACACACAGGATTGCCTCAGTCCTTGAGTGAGGGTAAGCAGAAAGAAGTCACTGTCAAATACACCAACACACATCACAGCTCCTCACCACTGCTGCTTCATCCCTGGATTTTCAGCTCCTACAGCAGCTTTCAGCTGGGAATCAAAAAGCCCTTTGTAAAGTTAAATTAATCCCCATCTTCAAGTTAATCTGAAAGGTGGAGAAATGTTTCCACATGCGTAAAGTGACAGACAGAGAGCTCGCAGCTCCCCAGAGAGGCAGCAAAGCCTGAGCAGGGCACAGGCAGGGACATCCCCATCAGCCAGCCTGGCACAGAGCAGCAAAACCCTTCCCCAGCAGGGCAGGGCAGCCTTATCTGAGCCCCCAGAACCAAGTGCAGCCTGCAGCTCTTGGTCCTGAGCACAGCCAGGACGGGGATGAGCTGGGAAGTGATGGGGAGGCCACAGGCACCATCAGAGGGCTGGAGCTCCTCTTGTCTCCGAAAGGCTCAGAGAGCTTGGGCTGCTCAGCCCGGAGAAGAAGGCTCCAGAGACACCTTCCAGTACCTAAAAGGGGCTTTTAAAGATGGGGACAAACAGGGCAGGAGGCAATGGTTCAAACTAAGAGAGGGTCAGTTTAGCTCAGATATAAGGAAGCAATTGTTTACAGTGAAGGTGGTAAAATAAACAAACAGGCTGCCCGGAGAGGTGGTGGATGCCCCATCCTTGGAAATTTTCAATTTACAGGGCTTTGAACGGCCTGGTGCAGTGAAAGGTGTCCCTGACCAAAATGATGACTCTGAACTCAGAGCAAGCAGCAGTGCAGTGAACTGCCAGTGCAGACAGCAAAACCACACTGCAGCCAGGGACAAATTGACTCAGTCTCTTCATTATTACACAGTTTTTAAAGACAATCTGAAACGCCCACAAGGGGTGTTTTATATCCTACTTACTAAGTACAATGCATAATTCCTGGGGTTTATACAGCTGGAGTGAAAATAGTCTGACAAAAGGCAGACTTCTTGCATTATATTTCTCAAGCTATTTCAGTTTGCTAATAAACCAAAAGGGAAAATTTATCAGCATCAGCTTTATTTAAAAAAAAAAAAAAAAAATCTTCTCTTGGAGAATACTTCCAGGAAAACATGGCTTAGTAGGTACTTTTTTCACAGGACTAAGCCATCCTTCCAGTAACTGGAATAGTACTTAATGATAATTTTAATTCTTTGAGGTAATAATTCCTTGCAAAGTAAGTACTTGGATAGCCACACTCTCAAGTGACCTGCACAAAACCAGAGGCAAAAAAAAGGATCAGCTATGTGGCTCTAATGAGAGATGCTGAGCTCTGTGCCATTTCCCCTTGTCTTACTCACACATCTCTGGAAGCTCCACTGATGATGAATCATAGTTTTGATATGAACTGATATATCTTGCAGGTAACTGGTGGCTTGTAAATGTGTGAAAATGAAAAAAAAAAAAAGGGAAGTACTTGAATCAGATGGTCTTGATAACAATGTTAAGTGTTTGCATGTAGTTTAAGTTTGGTATTTTTTATGTCAGCCTTCTTACCTAGCACACCTTTTCTATAATTACCTCCCTTGAAATTGCCAACAGAAGTGCCATTTCACATTGCCATGCCAGTCATGTATTGCTGTGCACACAAAGGCCAAAGCATGGACAGTGCTATTTATTTGATGGTGAGGGGAGGCCAACAGGGGGGTCACTACATAAGTACAGTCAGTTCCAGGAGTATCAAAAATCACTGCAGAGTTAAGAGCTCCAGCTGGCTTTTGTACCCTTTTCTAGATGCTGTAGGCTGGGGGTAAACAAGGATGGTGGAGTTTTGTCCTACCCTCACTATCTTCATGTTAACCTGCACGAGATCTAAACCTGTATCAGGCTGTGAAGTGCCTTGGCAGCCAAGGGATTTCCATTCCAAGAATTCTGCAGCTCACAGGGCAAAACACATCAGTATTTTAAGCAACTAAGCCAACAAGAAATAAAGACCGTTGCTCAAATTATGCTACTCACAAATTAATGGACTATCCACATGGCTGCTAACCTTGCTGGAACTTGGGAGGAGGTGAAACCCCTGTCCCCAGCAGCCACCTTCAGCTGCTTCCTTCCTGAACTCCCTGGGGCTGCTCCAAGCATGGGGCAGGGCATGGTGCTGGGGCTGAGGATGGTTCTGGAGCTGGGCATGGCTCTGGAGCTGGAGCTGGGCATGGTGCTGGGGCTGAGGATGGTTCTGGAGCTGGGCATGGCTCTGGAGCTGGAGCTGGGCATGGTGCTGGGGCTGAGGATGGTTCTGGAGCTGGGCATGGCTCTGGAGCTGGAGCTGGGCATGGTGCTGGGGCTGAGGATGGTTCTGGAGCTGGGCATGGCTCTGGGGCTGGAGCTGGGCATGGCGCTGGAGCTGGAGCTGGGCATGGAGCTGGAGCTGGGCATGGCGCTGGAGCTGGAGCTGGGCACAGTTCTGGAGCTGGGCATGGTGCTGGGGCTGAGGATGGTTCTGGAGCTGGGCATGGCTCTGGGGCTGGCCTTGGCACCAGCAGTGCTCTCACCCCAGCCAGGCAGCAGGCTGCCAGAAACACCCCAAGTGCCCATCACTGCAGGGTACAGCCTGACAGCAAGCTAGAGCACTCCACAGAAGTCCTGAGTGAGAGCCTCTAAACAATGCCTGCCTCAGGAATTGCTCCTTGTTACCCCCAGGGCCAGGACAAACAGATGCTGCACGTTCCATGTCTAACAAAGCCTTTAAGCACCAGGCCACCTGCCCTTCAGGAGATCGCTGTGGGTACACTCTGTGCTCCCTCACTGCAATGGTAAAATGTGGATTTTCCACAAGTGATGGGAACAACTCAGGCAAAGGACCATCAAAGCACACACTGCAGGTT